TTTTTCACAAGGAGTTCTTTTATGCCCTTGTTCGGGCTTTGCTCTTTGTGGTTGCCAGGTGACTTCAAGGTAAGGGGGCTCACTGATCTTTTGTTCTTCCTTCCGTGATACCCTTGCCAATTCAGCAAAGTGGCATGTAAGTCGCTTCCCAAGTTGGCTGCCGGAATGATTTGGCTGAATTTTCTTGGTCCGACCTTCGTGAGATGCGTATTACAGTACATATATACAGGATGTTTCTTTCAAAAAAGTTCAGGGGGTTATTTACTGTCAAAAGGAAGACATTCTGGTCCGGCTCAGATAATGAGGGGTGGGCTGCATCAAATATTCCATACGTTTTTGATATCTGAGCTCAATACCCCCGGTCGCTCCAGTATCAATATAGCCACTTCCCATCTCTAAAAGGGTTGTCATGTATAGATGAACAATGTGCGTAAAGTTGTGGCCATTAACACCTACATTGACGGCATCCCCAACGGGGCCCTGTTCGCTGTTCGTAGCATATATTTTAATTTTCAGTCTCCAGCGTCAACTGGAATTGTCCATCCAAGGGGTTGTACTCTCTGGCCCCCCTTGTGTAGAAATTTACATGTAAAGAATAATTCATATAGCCACTGATTGATGACCTCTTACTCGAGCCACCAATTTTGGAATGGAGCGTATCTGCAAAGTGTGCGCTTTGAACGTACAAGCTATTTTCGTTGGGCCTTTCCTACTACCATTTTAATTGTGAAAGTCGAAGGTTTTCGAGTGCTCAGACTGAGATTCACTTTGGCTTGGCTGCGTTGTCGACTACAGCAGTTTGCTTTTAATGCAAGTGTTCAGAATCAGCTTCGCTATGTATAACTGACACAGTACGTAAATAGAGCGGTGTGCGCCGCAACATCTCCCGCACATTGTGGTTGAGCCGAGCTTGAGTGGACTGCTGAGAAAATCCGATACGGTCTCCGTGCTGCCCACCGCATCCGCGCAACACATCTAATTGCCGGCAAATCTGATCTGTACTAGGTCAAAACCAGAGATATCTCTTCATTTGCCAATTTTGAACAAGGCGTGTGCTACTGAATTGAATGGTGTGAAAGCATATGTGCTTGGGTTTGAGTTATTCTGTTATCTACACTACTTCGCTTTCTAACAGGCACAGGGATCCTGCTTTAGACAGGAGCAGTATGTTAAGTTTGTTCGTGACTGCTAGCACCTGCTGGAACTAGATACATAGAAGGTGGATAGCAATTTAAGAAAGCCCTTCAAACAAAGTCCCAGTCTTATGATCAAGCATGATAAACCATGGTGCCGCTGACGGATATAAAACACGCAACCAAATCGCCTTGAGCTGAGGGTAAGTCAAAACCAACATAACTTTGCCGACTATATAGAATATCCCTGGGGACTGGTACAAAACCCCAGCCAGGATGGCGACAGCGATCATCTCAAGCATTGCAAGATGAAAGAAGATAGCAGATGCCGTTTTGAGAAAAGGATCCGATTCAGAAAACCAGCCGGAGATGTGATCTAAGACAGCACTAAGTAGTACACTTAATCCAATATTGATCAAGAGAAACTTTCGTGAGACTAAGCTTCTTTTTCTCAAAATGGTATGGTCAGCGTTCCCCAACACGCCAGCTAAAGTGATGACTAGCCCAGAAAGTGCTTTATCGAACATTGTAATGTATGAAATAGAGATCAGCGACCATGAGAATTAGATGGATCCGGCACTCTTTATAAGTCTACGATGGTGCTTCCCGGGAAAGTTGTAAAGGAGACAGGTTCCAAGAACGTACTTCGAACTAATCTGAGAATGGGTCTGGAAATGATCACAATCGATACAGTATGACTACATCTTACAGTAGTGTGTGTGACTCACCAGAGATCCCTGGGTTGTAACCATAACTGCTCTGTATTATTTCCAGCTGATCACCATCTACGTTCGCAAGCGGAGCTTGCCTATTTCGGCGTGCTTGACTATCAATAATTACGTGGTCAAAGATGCTTCGATGCTGTTTTGTAATTATGTTGATGTTCAGGTCACAGCAACGTCATCCATTCCGCTAGGAAATATTCCATTGCTATGTCGGCTTTAACGCATCTTTGGGCCGAGGCAAATGGCCTTTCCTGGCGCATGATATAGTTTCTTATAAGGCCAATTTACTGCATTTGAGATGAGCGTATGTCAGAATGGCTACAGAATAGCTACAGTTTAACTCTCAAAGAAGCCTCCAGCTTCCCGGCTCCCATATGAAGAGGCCCCGCAGAATGCAATAGCGTCTCTTGAGTCGTGGATTGTTTACTTAAGTGACTCATTCTCTTCTCATCTTGAGAAGTCCGAAAAATCTACGTTATAAGCTCACAACCTTTCCTCCTAGCCGCCATGACATGTCTATCAAATAGAGTCAGCTCCACAGGGGTTGGCCACTGTTTTTCACAGACGCGGCGATCTTCGGCTTGCAACTAGCGGGCTTCCCCTTTCCCTACCCAGCAGTAAGGCGCTCATCTCAATCATGACGTAGGTCCAACTCTTTATTTAGGATGACTTGGGATTAATTAGTACATACGGTCAATGCTATGTTCTCATGCGACGAGGACAGCCACGTTCCTCGCTTCTTTCATTTTCTTACCGCTGGTGACGGGCAAAAAGGGTTATATTGAGTTTTCCCTAGAAGTGAATGAAGGTAGAGTAGACCTCCGAGAATTGTTACTGACAAACGAAGGACAAGAGGAGGCAAAACGTAATCATTCCAGCTAATGAGAGGCACTTCGCTTGGCAGCTAAAAAAGGGAGTAATTGAACTTGCACGCCGCGACCGTAATATCCTGGCATAGACTTTACATATGTGCCCTCAATTGGGGATTAGTGGGGGCTGTACTTTGCATATATATCATCGGACTTGACATTAGCAGCTACTGATTATAGTTAAATAGTTGGTATAATCACCCACATCCGCAAATATATTTGCTTTTCGGATTCTGACTTTGCAGAGCAATAGGCCGTAAAAGCCATGTACTGTGTGTATATGCTAATCGCACTTCAGCCGAAGGCTACAGATGTATGGTATGGCCCATGAAAAATTTCTATCATGATCAGATACCTTTTCCGGTGATCAGTCCGTCTCGTGCTTGCGTTCAGCCGTTTCCCCGCCAATCAGCCCATCAATCTTCCGGGCAATGTTCGCTCTATCCAGAAAGAATAACAAAGATCTTGGAAGGTCACTCAATCGAAGAGTGCTATACTGTAAGACGATCATGGCAAATTACAAAACAAGAGGACAAATGAGTCATATATCGTCATGGCTCACATGCATATATGGTATAAAGAAGAGAGCTATAAACCGTTCCTGGGAAACTGACTCCTAGAACAATAGTAATCAGACGACGCACTTCGTTGAACCGAGTTCTGGTCGAGGCCTGGCTTTTCATATCAGAAAGGCTCTCGGTTAGAGGTCTCCAGGTGATGGGTGCCACCGGCAGACACGTGCGAAGTATTATTATGCCGCTACTGTGTAAATACAAACTTCTCCAAATGATCATCTGCGAGCCAGAGAGCTCGTCGGTGGAGTTTCTTGCGAAGTCGAAATGTGTCGATATCCGAATTAAAGACGCTCATTATATAGCGGCTTTGCACTACGCGACTATGAAGAATTCCAAAAGATTAATCCGGTTTATGACGAGGAATCCACAGCATAAAACATTGTTGAATGCACCAGAGATCCGATAAAGCGATACAATTTTCATGATTGCTGTTCAATTTCAGGATGAGGAGTTTTGCGACTTTTGTTGGATGCAGGCTCAGATGTCAACGTGCCAAACTCTCATGTTGAAAGCGTCCTCTTCTGGACGATCAAGCACCAACAGCACCGAACCACTGAGCGCCTCCCATATGGGCGGTTATTCATCGCGATGTATCCGTAACTGAAGTGCTTCTTTAGAGTGAAGCGCGCCCTAACGAAGCTGACGGTAATGGTCAATCAGCTCTTATGTGGGCCATGATGAACAGCGACAAAGAAATGGTAGTATTTCTTCTCGTCTATGGGGCAGATGCCGGGAAAATTGGAAGAGATGAGTGGGTTGGAGTCTTTTCCCTGGCGTTAAGCGTGGAAGGCCTGGTTTACACAGTCTATAAATGTGAAAGAGACGAAATTTGGAAGATAAGGGCAGATTCATGTTCATGAATCATAAACAGCAAACCCCTCATAGTCTCAGTTCCGCTTCCGTATCACGATGCCGCCGTCGTCGGACTAATTGAACGCCCTTTGAACATATTATGATATCATATTATTATCACTGCGTTGCGGAGTTCGACTTTTCACCGCCGATATTATATTTGGAGACCAGCCTATTGAGCTACCTATTCGTCAATAATGTGCGTCCAGGGTCTCTACAGTCTAGCCGCTTTGACTCTACAAGGATGGAGATATGACGAGAAGCTTCATGCAGACATTTTTATACACCTAAAGACCAGCGTGGGATGTGTAGGACTCAGCCTCAGTCCGAGGAAGCCGAAGGCATGTGGCCAAAATCAAACGATACAAGTTTGCTAATTTTGGGTGGAAGTATATCATAGAGACATATGTGACAGTCCAGCATATCTTTATACCTGGAACTTCATGCTTAAAAATCGAAACATCAATTTTCCAGTCAACACTGAGATACGATAGCCTTTCAAAAGGTACGGGACCGTGCTTTTAGTCAGTATTGGAGACTACAGAACGGTATTATACTTTCGTAGAGCTGACACCTGCTAGCAAATCCATATGCTTCCTTCCCTGTAGCATGCTGGTCTAAATCCGCCCGATGGATCATATGTATGACTTGTGCAGATAGCGACTTGAAGAGTCCTTATACTGGGAATTCATGTAGCTACAAGCAAGAACATAGTTCTAGACACGGTCTTATAAGCAGGAGGGTGTGTCAGCCAAAACAAGAAGCCCAAGGTCGGAATTACTAGCTGATGAAAATGGATAAGAGTGAGTACTTCACGGACGTTGCAAATATAGTTCAGACGGCGATTCATCTTTCGGGTGTCACGGTGGCGGGCGGCATGTTGGCTTCGGCCTTGGGTTCGCGCGCGCCATTGCCTTCAAACCCGGACGGCAGCGATACGGCCATTTCACGGTAGGGGCTCATCTGGGAGAGCTTGAAGCGTTGAATTTTGCTGCTGGCCGTACGCGGGATCTTCTCGACGAAGAAAACGCCGCCATCGAGGGCCTTGTATCTGGCTAGATGATAAAGTGCATGGTTATAGACTTCTTCGCTGGTGAGACGAGTCCCAGCTGGGTCGCGGGAGCGAACCACAAATGCGCGTGGAACTTCGTCCAGGCCAGGTCTATCCAATCCGATCACAGCTGCCTCAGTGATACCAGGGTGCTGGAGAAGGACCGCTTCTATTTCTGCTGGAGCAACTTGCCATCTATGCGATCGGATTAGCATACTATACTGCAAGCAAGGCAAAGATGTAGTGTCAATTACCCTCGTACTTTGATCAGCTCCTTGGTTCGGCCTATAATGTAAAATTGGCCCTGCTTTGAGTAGGCGAGATCTCCCGTGCGGAACCATCCATAAGGCTCCAGGGCATCTGTGCAGCCCCTGTAGCCTGTAAGCAGGCTGGGACCACGCACATAGAGTTCGCCAGGCTCGCCGTCTCCTTGCACAGGCTTTCCATCTTGCTTGATCAAGCGGATCTCGTATCCCGGGAGACAGGTGCCGATACTGCCTGGGTCCCCAGACTGGCCATATCGAGTTTGGAAGGTGGCGCCGACTTCGGTCATTCCCCAAATCTGACAAGCATAGGCCGTAGGATTCAGATGGCTGCGGAATTGCTGTATGGAGGCTGCATCAATAGGTGCGCCTGCAACCCCAATATAGCGGATGGATGAGAGGTAATCTGAAATCTGCAGAGGAGATTGGTTGAGGGAGTGGATAATAGCAGGGACCAGGTACGTCTCGGAAATTTGGTATCGATGCACTGCGGACAGGAACTTTTGAACCTCATAACGTGGTAGCACAAACAGTGGGTGGCCATATCGAATAGGAAAAAGGTGTGTCCAAAGGGCACCAAACAAGTGGAACATGGGTAGCGGCATCAAGCGGCGGACGGGAAATAGCACGTCGTAGTAGATGGACCGATGCTGCGAGATAATCGCGTGGTGGGACAGGATGGCTGCTTTAGGAAGTCCGCCGGTGCCGCTTGTCGAGAACATGGCCGCAGGCGTGGTTCGTGAAACCATAGAGTCATTAAAATTAAGCCAGTCACATTCACCACAGGAAAGCAGATTAACGAAATTAGAATGACGGGTGTCTGCACTTTTTACTGAGAAGTACCGAGAGTACCTTATTTCCCGCCACAGAAACAGTCGCGCACAGTTGTCAAGGGCAAATTCATCGACCAGGCAGATCTGGGCCCGGGGAATGCCCTGGTCAGCTGAGACTTCAACCACCGAGGGGAGGGCTTCGCGGGTTGTGAGGATTAATTTGGGTTCGGCGAGCGTCAGGATATGGTCGAGCTCCTTAGGTAGGCTGCTGGGGTTCGAGCCCATGTAGATACCGCCTGCGCCAATAATGCTGAAGAACAAAGCGGGATATAAAATCTATAATCAGCCCAGTCAGCATATTTCTCCGGTCCAATATTTGATCACTCTGATCCCACCTACACTGTTACCAAGATGCAACAGCACACAATCTCCTAGTTGCACATTATGCGCTTTCAAGCCCGAAATTAGAGTCCGGACCAGCTGTCGGAATTGGGCGGCCGTAAACGACCGCGAGGGATTTTCTGCATCAATAAACAATGTTTGATTTGGGTTATAAGGCTTGAGACCCCCGAAAGTGAAGGTCAATAAGTCGGTGTAGATATCAGGGTCCATATCTGTAGTTGGGACAGCCATTGTTTGCGTTGGGTTCAGAAGGATAAGGGTATTAGATAAATATTTAGCTCTCCCAGACTTTATATGCAACTTCCAACTTCACTCAACATCTCAGCCTCAGCTTATTTGGAATACATTAATTAGATAAGATTGCGCTAGTGTGATGAGGACTTCCACTTATGTCAGTATCATCTTGCATGCTCCTGCCTTTGATATTCCTTCGGCTACTTATCCAATCAATAAAAAGAAAATAAAGCAGAGTAAGAAGTGTACTGGGCCAAAGTACTATCGGTTCGCATGAACATGACAAATATGCCATGACAAACAAATCTGTGACTAAACTTTGTTAGTCCACCGTGGGCCTTCGATATTCCAAGTTCACTGATTGCCTTTTCAAGACCTATTGAGCGACACACTCAGTGCACCCCGCTTGAGCCCTGAATTAGGTATGAAATTATGACAGGCATAGGTTATTTATCATCTTCACGGTACATATGGCGAATATTGGTCCTATTTCACCCCCGCCCCCGAGCCTTGCCATTACGGAACATCGTATACTATACCCGAAAGCCGGTCTATGGTCGGAATGTCCCTCATGCACTATATATCAGGATATGTTTCTTTTATATACGACACTGTCTTCTCACCCTACCGTCGAAGGGGTGGTTCCCTTCCATGTTTAAACCAAAGGGCCCAGACCAATGCCCAACCTGTATTGAGTATCCCTTTCCCGCAGATCCACAAGCCCAAACGCGCACCAATCCCAAATCCCATTCGAATATGTAATTCATCTGTGTATTCGCCTGCCCAAGATCTATGTACTGGGTAGTGCATCGCAATGAAACAAGAGGGGAAAAGGACTCGGAAACGCCGTCGCATTTAGGCGTTTTATCAACTTTGGGAAAACAAAACAAAAAATAAAAATAAAAATAAAAAAGAGAGAGCAAAGGCCAGTCGAATATCCCATCTCGCAAGCTCGGTTTGGTGTATAATTCTCTCATGGAATGCCGCCATCATCCGTAACATAATGTTGCCATTGTTTGGAGGTATGGGTACCCTCCCGGCGGAAGAATATCTCCCTTGGCCATTAAATTATTGTATTCCTTAAAGCAGGGTCGTAAACTTTATGATATTCTTGAGGGCGTCTTCTCCAATTAGCTTGCCACATCTGTTGACTGATCGTGGTGCGCCTGATGCAATTATCTTGGGATAGGGGATAGTGAATAATGCTGATACCCAGAGTAATGGTAGGTTATTCACTTTGGTTTGATTACACCCTACTTCCCAATAAACAAGAATTTCTTTCTCAACTTCCCTGTCAACATACCCGTCCCCGATTTCTCGGTCGACGGTCTCGACTACTCTACATCTTCGAACTTTTGACGTGTAATATAGCCATCTCTCGGTTTACCTTAGCTGTGAATTAGTTTATTGGCAAGGGTGGGCTCATGTTCCGGCCATGATAGTTTCATACACCTAGACAGAAATGGATAATGCATTTTTCAAGTGAAAAAAAAAAAAAAAAAAAAAAAGGAAAAGAGGAATCAAGAAATTAGTTCGCGTTGCACCCAACGTCCACAGAGCTTCAGGAAATGGTCAGGCTCAAATAGGATTGAGAAAGGAGGGAAAGGGCGCATGTGGAGGAAGTGAGCCAAGACCCGGCGCATTAGTATCATAAATTAAATGATCTGCGTTGGTTGAATTGTCAACTCAGCCTTCACAACCTTCCTTTGTTCCCTTGACTTGGTTCAAGACCCTACATATGTTAGCTCAGCTAAATCGATAATCATGCCAGAAAAGTGTCCTATAACCATTACCGCCCCCCCAACAGCTATGCTGACAGGCTCGGGCTCCTCAAGTGAGGTCACTTCCACTGATAACAGGCCCATCAATAAGTACTGTCCAAGGGAGGTGGGTAGGCTGAATGACATGGATCCCGAGGCGCAGACCAGGCAGCCCAAGCCCAAGTTGCTTGCCTCGACACGCTATGCCATTCTCACTATATACCGACGTCTATTCACGCTAGTCTTCCTAGCAAACACCGCCGTATTTGTGACCGTTATGACCAAGGAGCAAAAGCTGTTAGCTCTGGTCAATGCCACTGCCGCCAACCTGCTCGTTTGTGGTATGGCCCGGCAGCCATTAGTTGTCAACGCGATCTTCCTGGTTGTGTGCTCGATACCGAGGTCTGCACCACTTCCCCTGCGCAAGATAGCAGCCAAGGTCTACCACTATGGCGGAGTTCACAGCGGCTGTGGAGTGGCCTCACTTGTCTGGTACGTCGGATTCGTCGGCATCCTGTCGAATCAGTACTGGGGAACAACCGCCGGGGCCAGGATCCGCCTTTCTACCACGCCAGTCATGCTAGTGTATATTATTCTGGTTCTGCTGTTAGCGATAATCGCGGTGGCACACCCCACGTTCCGCCTGAAGCGGCACGACTGTTTTGAACTTACCCACCGTTTCCTGGGGTGGATTGTCGTCGCCTTGTTCTCCGCCTTGCTGATGATCTTCGCCCACGAAGCCAGTCTGTCCCTGCATAAACCCCTAGGCACTTTCCTCGTGACCCTGCCGGCCTTTTGGTTCCTTGTCGCAACCGCCGTCTCCATCATCCAGCCCTGGCTCTTCCTTCGCAAGGTTGCGGTGCGGGCCGAGCCTCTCTCCACCCATGCCATCCGCCTACACTTCGACCACACAAAAACGGCCTTTGCAGAGGGCATTCAACTAGCCAAACACCCCCTCCGCGACTGGCACGGATTCGCCACCTTCCCAGACACTGCAGCGGAAACAGACCAACCATCCACCTTCTCATGCCTAGTCTCAAAAGCCGGCGACTGGACGGCCGACACGATCCAAAAGCCCCCAGCTCACCTCTGGAAACGAGGAGTATTAACCCAGGGCTTCGCGTATGCGATGCGTGTTTTCCACCGTGTGATTGTCGTCACAACGGGTTCAGGCATCGGACCCTGTCTCTCATTCCTGGGGGACGAGAACCGGCCCGCGCTGCGCGTTCTCTGGCAGACACGCGCCCCTCTTGAGACGTACGGCGAGGGCGTGATGGGGATGGTGCGTCAGATGGATTATGATCCCATCATTATGGATACGACCCGGTGTGGCCGCACCGACATGGTCCCCATCATCTTTCAGCAGGTTAGAGAATTTGATGCGGAGGCTGTGTGCGTGATCAGTAACCCTTTGCTGACGAAACGAATTCTGTATGAGCTTGAAGCGCGAGGAATCCCGGCATTTGGTCCGATTTTCGATTCTTGAAGTTCTTGCTTGCTGTCCTGGTATCGTATCCTTTTCCCGTCGTTTATTTCTGTTGAGGGTTTGGTCTCATTTCTGTTCCTTCTTGTTTTTTTCATTTCCATTTTGTCCTCTCTTCTCATTGCACTTCAAGCAACTTGCCATTTAACTCTAAGTGGCCGTATATCTGCGAAATGATTATTTTCAAAGTTTTGGAGGGAGATGAAGTATCGGGGGCGAGCTGTGCTTATGTTAAATCCACGTCAGGCAACTCATTAATCTCGTGTAAAGTCCCAGATCCCCAACTCTATCGATGATTTGGCGACTAACTAGGTTGGTGGTGATTTGCAATGTTCAAGAAGTGATTGATTGTTTTAAATTTTGTCTATTACGGAACATGGTTGCCTTCTTATAATGGACATTTGCATTTCTAAACCCTAAATGCAGCCCGTAAAAACGAGAGCCACATATGTGCCGTAAGCAGTGCCCATCATGAAGGAGTAAGTTCACACAACGTCCTCGCACTTCTAAAAGTATATTCTGCTTTGCTTTGGGTCTGCTTTGTGCCTAGTTCGTCTGGCCTTGCTTGGCCTTTGCTTTTGACCTAAAGCTCGCCCCTTTGTTGAGTCTCACTGGGGCCTGAGCTACTGATTATACAAACACCAGCTACATTGGAATCGCGCGCATTTGAGATGAAATTAATTCGATAAGCCCATATTAATATCAGGGTCAACAATGCAGAAGTTCCAAGAAACAAATCAAATCATGCCCTAATCCGGCAGGTAACCCATCAAAGGCCCATGCCCAGCCACGATCGCAAAGAAACGAAGCCAAGCCTCAACCCTTGAATGCTACCTCTCGTACCCAAAGCCCCGAAAAGTCAATGAACAATAATAATTGGCAGCAACTCAGCCGGGCTTGCAACGGCGCTGCATCTGCACGAACACAACAAGATCATCTGCATAGTTTACAAGCCATTATTCAACAAGTCTCGTCCAAGTGATTGCAATCCTCTCCAACAGCTTGCAATTTTTGACTGAACGGACGGTTACAATGACGTGTGGTGTGCAGGCTCAAAATTTACACTGAGTCCGGCGCGTGACAGTGTGGTTGCGGTGCAGGATGGTGTTAGGTGGGCTAGGCGACGGAGTAGGGCCAGAAGAGTTGCCGTTGAAAGTGTGTTGTCGGAGTCTTCCAGGCGGGTGCAAGGTGCTAATGGAGTTAGTGGAATTAAGCTTTGGTCGAGTGATTGGGCGGATTTCATGCTGGGGATTTGCTTTAGTCAATATTAATCGCTCGTTGTTCCGAAGAGGGAATTTAGGATCGGTTTGCTGCTATCCAGGTCGCATGGTCTAACGAGTCACATCTCGAGTCGTGGTTATCATGATATGATAACTTCGTGGAGAGATATACACTTGCAGCGTTTGTCCTTCAGAATGATTCCTTTCCAACCACCTATGAGACCACTTTACATGACACGACGCTAGCCCACAGTGGAACCTAACATGCTAGTCTGTACCATGGACGAAGAGCTTATCTTGCAAAAACATCTCAAAGTCCATGCCAGACTAGAGTTATTCCACTGACGGGCACACACAAGGGGTAGGTGGGCCTTTTCTATATGCTGCTTGTTGATGAAATAGCATAGACAGTCGATAAAGCACCCCAGAGATTGCTTGTGATACAAGTCTGCTCTGTGGGCATATTATTTGTTGAAGAGGTGGATGGAGGGTGAGCCAAGCTTCTTAGTGAAGGGATGGCCTCGCAAGTTTGAACTTGCAATCCATGAGAAAAGGATATCAGGCCGTCCGGTTGTAGAGAGCTTTTAAGTGTTGGTGGGAGACTTCCAACTGCAATTGACACGTTAAAAAGAGCGCTAGAATTTCGAATAATTGGCCTATTCGCCGAGGTCTTACCATAAGCGTTAAAATTATATAGACCACAGACACAGCCATTGATGATCTGTTTTAGACTGGTTCCCTCTAGAATTGTCTTTCCATTGCGATAAACCGAGAACGATTGGTCTCCAGGATGCATTGGTACCGCTTGGGCAAAGGCACCTGCTGGAGCATTGTAATGGTACAGCCTGCCACCGGAGTTGATCTGCACCAATGCGGGGCTTCGGAGTAACGCGACCACGAATACAGAGTCATGCACGGATTGCCAACCGTCAGGTCGCCCTAAAAAGTAATTCCCGCTACTGTTAACAGCGGGAGCAACGCACGTATCTGTTACGTCGCAGTTCTGATTCCGCAGTGCAGGGCGGTACCAGTAGATCAATCGGTCAGAAGTGATGTATTTATCCGGAGAAGATGCGCCTGCTTTGAATGCTGCGATAAATGGCTTTGCCATCTCTAACCATCCGTCATGTGGCCTGTATGTGTTAGACTGGCGTAACATTATTTTCAGAGAGGACGCATTACATATCGTTGACCCACTTTGAAGCTCCATCATCAGTGTGGGGAGAATGCAAGGGCCCAGTATAGTGGGACTCGCCATAGTCATTCCATGTCACAATTTCAATGAAACGAGGCCGCATGGTCAATATTTCATGCCATCGATTATACCATAGCAAATCTGAAGGGAATATCCAGTTCTTGCTGTATGGTACCTCTGGTCCAAAGTGGGTGAAGAACCACGGTGACACCGCTGCTTAGAAGTCAGATAATTGCGGATGACAAGTAAGGAGAGGGAGGAGGGGGACAGTGGAGACAATTTCTTACGGGCTACGTAAGCACGCCCTGCAAGGACATTGATGTAGACTTGATCTCCATCCGCAACAGAAATATTGCTATGACGTGTTGGTGCTTTGTTACCTCCGTTGTGGGGCCAAGCCATCCAGTTGAAGAGGCCGTCAACGGAGGTGGTGTCGGTCCCAAAAGCCGGGTGAAAATTAGGAGCAAAGAAGATCGGAACTCCAGCTGCTATCCTTAATGCTGCCACGTCTAAACCGTCACCTGCAAAGGTCGATACAAACACTTTGTTGTCCACCATTAGCTGAGCAGGTCTAGCAGCAAACCGAGCAATTGTATGGCCGATCTCGGTGGTTCGGTCCGTTTGCCACCAGTTGAAGTCAAAGGAAATAAAGACTTTCATCAAATTCTGCGCTGCAGACTCATAGGCAAGCTCGAGCTGCTGCTTTGTGTACGGGTCCGTCCCAATATTCAAAGCAAAGGCGTCGATTCCAAGTGATTTTGCAATCCGCATGTCCTCGTCATATTCAGACGCACTTTTCCGGTTATGGGTCGCTCCAATCTGTTGAGATGTCATTGTCAACCCATATTGACCACATTGCTACTAGCACGAGCATACCATGAAATGCGCGAACACAAGGCGGCTGGTCTTTTTTTTTGTACCTAACATAATGCTGTTGGCTGTACCGGCCAATGAAGTGATCAATACAGTCAATGTGAGAATAAATGAAAGCAAAATGGGAATGGAGATCATCTTGCTAGCTACGGAGACCAAGGCACCCCTTCTGCTTTGTAGGTCGGACGGTGGGGTGTATAAAATTCAAAGCATTATAGGGGTCTACAATCGACTTATAAAGGCTACGGTAGCCAATTTCGGGGTTGAAATCAGTATGTGAGAACAAATCCCCAAGGGACAGACGAATACCGAGCTTGACCAAATGAAGCGCGATCGCTTCTCACATTTACACTACAATACAGCAATTTAGTCCATTTTTACTATTCTAGAGTGAGATGATTTCGGTATTGGGGCTAAAATTGATCAAATACAAAAATACATTGCGCCTCTCTGATGATGGTATACCATCTCATCAAAATAAGACTACGATTGACGCAAGACTATCAATCTTGACCCAAGCCACCGTGTATATTATGGAAAACTTACTTCCTCCCAAAATATGTTCGCATGTTAAGATTTGTCACCTTCGAATCCGTATTCCTTGACACTCATCCAAGTCCGCCTTTAACGTAGTATCGAAAGAGTGGGCTACCACCTATTCTTTTTATCAGTGCTATATATAATGCCTGCCCATCCAGATTTTATGTTACTTGTGAGAAGTATGCGCCAGGAGCTCACCAGAATGATCATCGCTAAAATAGAGCGAATAGAGATTCCAGCATAGCTACTGCAGTCTTCGGTCATATTGCGCGAAATTTCAAGGTAGTATATTTCGTAGATTCAATTATACGGGACACATGTCCCAGGCGATGGTCACTACCGACAAAAGTTCGATTTCGTGTAGTGTTTTAGCGGAGTGATTGCTAGGTGAATACCACATGTTCCATTTTGGATAATTTTCAGTGCTAAGTTAAACACATTATTTGGAACACATCAATCTGTCAGGTTTGAGGCAATTGGCCAGAACTTTTGGAAGGATAACTCCAAAGAAATTTTTGTTCACCCGGTTCGATGCTATATTGTTCCCTATTCCTTTGAATTATTCACCTGTTTTCGCTTTCGTCTTATGAGACTCCATTGAAACGCCTCAGCAATAAGCCAATTACATGTCCTCCAAGACCTGAGTCTTCATCTGCTGCAATGTTAGTTTACCGGCTAACTCATCCCGATTTATTGATTAAGAAGGACAGCCTCTCAAGCCTTGTTTATGGTTGAAAAATCCTGTGTTATGTTTTCCAGTAGGTCCAACCATACCAAGCAAGCACAGTTGCAAATGGATTGTTAACAGGACAAATGAAGCTTTTGTTACTCTTGAGAATGTCGAGCTAAATTGGTACTATTAGTAGAGTCGATGGAAGCGACTTCATAGGCCATAGAAGGAAATAAGAACCCTTCGATCCGCACTCTTCGATCCGCACTACCCCGACGTCAGGTTGGGAGTAGAAGAAGACGCTTGGGTGATATTCCCTCAATCCCAAATTCTCCCAGGGTTTGTGCCCTTCCAGCTTCATGTCTTTTTGCGATTCTTGTGGATTGTTAGACGCAATTTGGTTATCCATGCCCAGCGATGAGATCAGAACTAATAAAACTAATGAATGCATTAGGACAAGAAGTATGAGCTGTGCTTACGCTTCATTGGCTACTTCCAAACCTCTTTATTTCGAAATGGCCCGACGATGGAAGTTAGATATGATTCCCTTGATTCAGTCTGATTATCTAAAATAAGACACCCTAATACTCCAAGATTGAGACCCCATTCACATTTATACAGTACCCTTCAGTCGTGGTTATACCTCAGAAAATGAGTCCAGCATAGAATCTTCGGGATCGCAATTGAAAACCCAAATACATTAGAAATGAGATGATCTGCGTTCGGCCAAGAGCTGAACTAAAAATATGATGAAAGCGCAAAGAAATTCAGCCAACTTATGGGCAGCATGATGTATATACTGGAATGTAGGATCTGTATCCCATATGTTCAAAGTCTCTGGAAGTGAGTTGAATAGATCCATGGATGTTGGGAAGTTGGTCTCGGTAGCTTTCTTCTCCTTGTTCGCCTTCGTCGGGCTGGTAGCTATCACTGCTTTAGCTGGTTCCTTCGCAGCTGTTCTATTCGTAGCCATTTTCTTTACAGCCTTCACCTTCGCTGCTGTCGCCTCATCCTCTTCTTGGGTGGTAGCTGTCGCCGCTTTAGTCGGTTTATTCGCAGCCGTTCTCTTCGCAGCCATTCTCTTCGCAACCGTAGCCATTTCCGTCATAGCCTTCGCCTTCGCCTTCGCTGCTGTCGCCTCATCCTCTTCCTGGGTGGTAGCTGTCGCCGCTTTAGCCGTTTTATTCGCAGCCGTTCTCCTCGCAGCCGGTTTGTTTGCAGCCAGTTTTTTCGCAGCCGGTTTCTTCGCAGCTCGTTTCTTCGCAGCCGGATTTTCCGCAGCTATCTCCTCATCCTCTTCCTCCTTCTTTTCTTTCTCTTCCTGGGTGACTCCTTCAGCCGTTTTCGTCCGCCACGTACCTTTCCCTTTTGTAATCACTGGAGTATGGGTAGCATCGATATCAGTATCAGTACCACTGATGAGAGTATCAGTATCGCTATCGATAGCGATAGCATACTGACCGGCATTTTTGGTAGATCGATTCAAAACCATTGTGCTAGTAAGAGTCTCAGCTATTTTATATTACTAACAACCGGAATGAGATGGAAAGCGGATTTGATGGGCTCTTATATGTATTTTGAAACTTTTTTTATGTGCTAAATTTGCTGCTATTTTTGAGTCAATCCATTTACGCAGCTTATTTCAATTGAACCTTACACCATAAAACCCTTTAATGCTAAATCCATGCGGTGATAATTTTGGCAAATTCAGTTTATTTTTTTTCTTGCTTTGAAACGCAACTATTCGGCTGTCTACACCCCATGAATGATTCTAAATTCACAACCGCCGCACGATAATGCATCACAATATCCGGCACCGTTCAGGAGATTAGAACGTCGTGTCCACAGCACATTGCGAGGGTTGCTCCATTGCCACAACTACTGAATACAAAATCAGCAAACTCACTTGAGGCCCCTAGTATAAGAGCGTCTATCAGCCACGGTATGATGCCAGTGCATCGATTCCAGATATTGAACTTGGCTATTCCAAACCCAATTCTGATTAAAAAGAATGTGAGTTAAAGGACTTGGGTCACATGAGCCACGCTAAAGCCTCAACACCCTACGACTATTTACTAGCAAAACAAAGAATAATGCGGGTCATCCTGGCACAGGATAGAGCTCAAGGTCATAGCGTCTGTGTCATGAGCCAGATTACGCTATGCTCCCCTTTATTTGATGAACATGAAGACAAAGAGGAAGATCTTTAAATATACCAGATTTAAAGTTTCCGTGTTAGTAGTAACTCTATTGGTACATACTACATAATATTATATCAATACCATATTGAATGCTACTTTGACTATGTCATTGTCAGTATGTCTCTTCTTATAGGGCCAGCCCCATAACATGTACACTATGCCAGATTAGCAGCTTAGTGATCTATTTTATTGAAAAGCTATGCCACTTTAGCACCGAGCTGCTCTGCTTGTCAATAGCCAGCGGCCTGGAATTGCACACCTCTCAAACTAAGGGCTGACCTGTACGTTGCTCGCTGTGAGATGCAGCCCGCCCGATCCAAATAGAAAATGATGGCCAATGAGGTAAAACATAAATGAGTATAAATACTGAAACAATTACAAAATGATGGGGATACTTTATGTTCCATATCTCTGTAGTCACTCATTATGCAGGAGGAACGCGCTGAATTTTGGGACGTGAGCAAGTCAAACGTCATTCCTTTATGCTGTAACATGCGCGGTTCGGTAAGATGTTTTGCAGTATAACGATGATGTACGTAGCAGAAAATGCCTTACTGCAATTTCCAAGCCTGGTTGCACAAAGTCGTCAATAAAACTTACATTGTGATCTTGTTCGGCTCTTGCTACTTGAAAAAGTACTTTTCTAAATGACATGAACTTTCCCGCGAGATTGGACGGCAGGGGGAGGATGGAAAGTAGGCGGTTGATACAGAGTTAAGTGATATTATAACCCCCATCAGGATGTTGTCGTGTTTGATGAAAATTTAATTGCAAAATTTGAAACCTGAGATATAAGTTAGGGCGAGATTTTCAATCGTATGTTCTGGGTACTACTTACCTGAATTTTCAACCGGCTTAAAATGACCTTGAAAAGCTTCGCGACGCGGCGACAGTAACCGATATTTTAGCAGCTGGAAGAAAAGTAAGTTTAAAGTAACAGCTTCCCCCCTTCCTCGTTATAAGAAAAGTGTGCTAGTTCCAGTTCAAGGGATGCCTCAAGCTCAGAATTTTGTACTATTCCTGCCAAAATGGCAGCTGAGTTTTTCATTTGAATCTTTTGACCGCAGTCAATGGAAAAGCCTGCTTCGCAAAGCACATATTCTCCATAGCCGTTCTTTCTACTGAAACTTTGGTTAGTAACACTAGAAGACTTTATAGTTCATTCCAGTGCCATTTTAACTGTATTATAGCTATTACCAAGTGTGTCGGTACCAATGGTCGCTTTGAGGTAAGCCCCTTTCTTTGGCGTTTCGGCAATCTGATGGCTAAGATCGAGATCTAATCGAAGATTCTAGCTTCGAAACGTCATTAATACATCTATTGGATATTTGAATCGCAGGGAATGAAGATCGTGAATATAACGTACGCACTTCATACACATACAGAACCTTCTTCGACACCCAGCATCTTGTCCGAGAAGGTAAAGCTTATCGCTCAGAAAATTATGCTCTACCTCCTCAAGAATCGCAAGGGCTAAGAGAATCGTTGGGACCCTTTCATAGAGTTCGCTACTTTACGATATTTTAGAAGAGAGCAACGAGAAATCCAGGATCCTATAGGTTTATGAACTCGTAGCGTAATTGTTTTGTGAGACTCACCAAACTGCAGCGCCCCGCGGACAGTTTATAAAGCCCTGAGTAGCATTGATTTCAACTATACATATCTGTGGGAAACGCGCTCTTGATCGCTCGCAGCGTAAGATATACGAAGTAGCTCAAGACCGATGATCATAAGATCAACGGGAAATAGAATTTGGGACCTCCGTAAGTATTTTCCTATCCCACAGCTTTCTCACGACACGTAACGATTATAGCGGCTTATTGCTCACCGCAGCCGTTCGTATCAGTGGATATTACTTTAACTTGCTTGATCATTTCACTAGGTCAACAAATTATTTTTCACGGCAGGCTTTCTGGACTCTATGACAAGCGCTTGTAATTGACAAGCGAATTTATCTCAGTTTACTTGATTCCCTTACTTTGTGTCCGCATTACTCTTTTGGGGTGCGTAACACAGAAATGGCCCGCGATGAACCGGTGGAACTTGGAAAATGAAGTCTTTGACTTTTATCGTGTCTCCATTTATCAGATAAGATGGCTCCAATTGAAAAATCTCACTTTATATGGAGTTGCTCGGAAGAGGGCCGAGATTTCTCAACATATACCTCCTCAATGAATTTAACCAAGGTCTTGATATCCTTGGTACTGGTCATTGCACCCAGACTGACGCGAAGAACCCCAGTAGGCCGTCCATCGAGCACATCATGGTTGTCACCACAACGCAAGCCTCCCGCATAGTGGCGGCGAAGTTCTGTATCTGTCCAGCCCAGAGATGAGGCCGTCCCGCCTGGATTGCAGACTGACCCAGAGCGTAGTTGAATATTTCGCGCAGCTGCCAGCCTCTCTATGGCAGTTTTGGGGATCCACTCACCACGGCTGTTTTTCAGATTGAAAGCGATAATCGGGCCTTGTAGCGCAGGATCTCCATAGACTGAACGGTAGATGTGACAGACAACTGCGCTGTTGAAGTGTCTCAGCGAAGAGAGACAGTTGTATAGCCTTTTGACAAGCAATCCAGCGTGGGCGGAAATATTTACCATTGAACCATAAAGCCGTTGATGTGTATCGAAGGCGCTATCTAGTGCGATTATGCTGTGGAATGGAAGAGTGCCATCTTCGAGTCGCTCGTGGATTGAGGACGCCTTTTTTGCATGCCATTGGGCTCCCGATGCTAGTACCATGTCGACAGTGCCCCCACCAAAATATTTGCGCCTCTCAAGGGCACGTGCGGCGCTTTTTCGGACAATCAAAGCACCTAGGTCGGGAAATCCGAAGATTTTGTAGAAGCTGAGCGCGACAAAGTCGGGTGCCCACTTCTTCAAGTCCAGAGGAGCGGTTGATACAAATGAGGCGGCATCGACCAAGCTGAAGACATTCCCTGCGTACTCACCGGTAGCTGTGCGGATCTGATTACACCAACGGACCGGGAGCCGCCGGCCATTCAGGTTAGACTGTGCCGGAAATGCAATTAGCTTGGGCGTCTCCGCATGCTCGGTGCCCAGTCTAGAGATCAAAGTGTCCACTTCAACATCTTGGAAGCACTGGTAGCCCACTTGGGCGAGCTCTCGTACACCAACGATACTTGTATGGGAGTCGATGTGGTATCCATACCAGAAACCCTGTGGATTTTGATCTCGGAACGATTCGGCAACAAGCTTGATAGCACTGGTTGCGTTGGCCACGAAAACCAGATCAAACTCGTCTGGATCGGCATTGAAAAATTCAAGTGCACGGAGTCGCACATCTTCTGTCCGCTGCGTAGATCTCTGAGAGGATTGAGACATGGAATGGGGGTTTCCGTATAGGTTGGATACCATGTCGTGCGAGAACGACTCAATAAGAGACTTTGCATAGAGCGTTGTTCCAGCATGATCGAGATAGGTAGTTCCTGAGACCATTTAAAGATGATAATTAGTATAGCCGTAGAATAGTTCGAATTGGAGAGAGTACCGTTTAGTAAAGGGTATTCCAGCTTGCGAATGGTCTCCAGGTCGGTACAATAGCCCCCACCATAACAGGCACTCTTGCCTTTTTCAGAAAAGCATTCCATCGTGGATGAGAAATATGAATATGTGTGAAATGGACAAAAAGGCTTTCAACACCTGAGGCTATTATTCCACTCCGAATCCGCCGTAGTCTAAATAACAGTGAAAGGCTGTGTTGAATATTCAGGGCGATACACAGGAAGAATTCTTGTGTGGCACATTCTGGTAATATCTATTTATACCTCTGAGAGGAAAATAATTGTCACATGTGGCGGGTCATACAGTAGGTCCACTGGCGCTGTCTATGTATCCATAATTTCCGGAGCGCATTGCGTAAGACTCTGATTGTATTGTCCGGGAGGGCCCAACTACAAGTCGAGTCAAGGTTGTAATGATGATCAAGCTAAAAGAGCAAATAATTCGAAGATTGCGAAAATATACAATGATCAGTCAATTCACTTACGATTTAGGTAAGTTACTTTATTAGTAAAATAGACCGGAGACACAGCGTGCGGTGAAGGGCTCTTCCACGGTTGACATATTTATGAAAGGATCTGTCATTCACCATTGGAGTTTTCATCTGACCTTTCTCCGCGCGCTTGGGGATACTGTGTTCTAGATAATGGGTCTATTGGATGGTCTGCTGAAGTCAATAGCAAGATCTCGACACGCGATACATGATGACTGCTACGTTTTCCAGCTTGACGTCAGGGTTGTCCAAATGCTTAAAAGAATAACCAGCTAACAGACTGGACAGTATAATTTATAAATCAAACAGTACGGATCCATTGCACACATCCCATCCCTTCCGCCTAGGGTGACATCGATCGAGCCTCCCTGTTTCGCTCTTCAAATCATTACGACATATCCGTGTGGAGTCTAAGTACTATCTAATTTAATTTTGCTGAGCGATAGAGCTTCAACTTTACGCTGAATATGGGCGGGCTATAGTCTTTCGTTCTGTTCAAATCGAAAGACATTTACCAATTTTGCCTTTTTCTATACGTAGTACTTAATACAGCGATAATATGCCACTCTCAACTCTCACATAGGCTTATGACAATAAAATGGCCGGGCTTCCCTGGGAGATCTGGCTTCTTGTGGCGGAAAGCCTCAATTAGCATGATCTTACAGACTTAAGCATCACTAGCGTAGATTTTTACATTATTCTCAAGCCACCAAGGCTTGGACACAAATTCCTTGATATTCCAGCGAAGGAAAAAGAAAGCGCTGTTCTTAACTTTGTAGGGCGTCATCAGCGAATTAACTTGGCCGTATGCGATCAGCAGCAGAGAACGGCGCTCGAGTGTGTGGTGATTCGCGGCTACCATTCCGTCTTTCGATCGTTGCTTGCTCGCCCCCAAGCTAAGCGCCTACTCGAGAAATAGGGGGCAATGTGAGATACCCCGTTGATCTCAGCTGCCAGACCAGATCAGGACCAAATGACCTCCGTACTGGTTGGTGCAGGAGCAAATATCAATGCCCGTAATGCTTCCGACCGAACTACCCTCCACTGGGCAGTAAAGAATGGCAACAATTGCATGGTTAAGCAGCTACTAGGCGCAAAAGCTGACGTCGCATTTACATATGAAAGGGCGCTGACTGCGTTGTGGCTGGCGGTCAAGGGCCGACAATTGGCCATTTCCGAACTACTGATCTCATATGGAGAGAATGTCAATGCCAGAGACACTTTCAAAGAGACCGTATTGTGCTGGGCGGTGAAGCGGAGCAGCGGTTTCTTTGTAGACATGCTGCTAGATAGTGGTGTGGACCCGAGCCGGGCTGACAAACTCAGCCGAGATCCGCTAATATCGGCAGCCTTGATGGGAAATGCGAAGATTGCGCAAAAGCTCCTTTCAAGAGGAGCCTGTCCGGACAGTATTGACCGATGTGGGCGAACACCCCTCGCATGGGCAGTGGCGATGGGTCATATGGACGTGGTGCGAATGCTGCTGAGCCGGGGCGCCGATCTCAAACGAGTCGACCAGTTGGACTGCTGCACAAGGCAACGTAGACATCACTGTCTTGCTTCTGAACACTGGGGCCCGTGTGGAATATGATAGCCAAAGTGCTCATCTGCCTCTAACGTGGGCAGTCTTGAAAGGGAACATGAGGCTGGCCCGGCTACTCCTCGATCAAGGTGCTGATTCTATGCATCTCGACAGATATCGCTGGTCCCCTCTTCTGGAAGCAGTTTGCCATCAAGGTGCCGACATGCTCCAGTTGCTTATTGTTAAAAGTTCTCAGGTCTTGGACGCTAAACTGACCAATCCTTAAGGGGACTCAGCCCTGTCGTTGGCCCTAAATTTACCATCGCGCAGGATCGTTATAATCCTTCGAAATATATAAATGGAACTCATCAGATGCATCCTATTTGTAAACCTTGCGGGTAATTTGTGAGCTTCTGCAAAGCATTGATAGTTCTTTGGCGTGGATCAAGAATACCATTCAATCGTTAAATGACAATAAATTATTAGATTTCCGCTGCTGCTTGGATTTCGCCCAATTGTCGAACTCAACACAAGGATATCTTTGGCTTACTATCAACCATTGACTTGTCCAGTAATCATCTGTGGGCCACCTTTACTTCCACTGAAAGCTTCTCTACAAGAATAGAAAAGTCCCTGAATCCAAAGTTGCATCCGCCTGGGATTAAAACGAGCCCTGTGCTTTCCTATGGGTTAAATAGAGCGTATGATTCATGAAAGGAAGATTCCTATAGCGGGAGCTCCAAGATGTGTCAGGGTCCCCTACGTAAGTTCGCCGGCCAAGCCAAATGGCTTCCTGCGTAAAATAGGGAATAACCGCAATATTTCCATGTCTTATGGCTAGGTCGTCGTTTTTTCAATTAAAGTATCTTCATTTTCTCTGTTGGCTACACGAAAGATTAGGAGATGTGTGTCGTAGCCGAGGTTCGTCTCGATATATGATGGCATCATTTCTATCTAAATCATGGCGTCGAAAGTCATATTATCCGAAAGCATGTTGCTACGAGCTGACAGTATGTAACTAACTTGTTTTTATCTTGATTGCTAAATCCAGGGGATTTATTCAGGTTCATATATAGGCTACATACAATCTATGAAAGCGTAAAATCAAACGAGCAGTCCTCAAAGACAACAGTTATTAAGAGATCAACTCATAGTATGGTGTTTTTTGGGTAGGAACCTCGCATTTGAAATACGTTGAATATCGGTGGCGAGACTACCGGTCCACCAAGGGTAGCTGCACGACCAATGACCTAGAGATAGGTCCTGGACACAAGCCTTTACAGTTAAAGCTTTTGCTCAGGGTATCTACCGTAGTGTGCCGCTGGTTCATCTGTCCTAGCAGAATGTAAACCAGGGCTCGAGATCTAAAAGACATTGCACCGGCCTTTGATTAGTCGAAAATGTCCAGAAAGGCGACCTACATACCTCGTCAGCAGCCGAAAATGCCACCAAAGAAGCCACATTATAATACCTTCGTGTTTTAGGTCCGGCGCGAGGAATGACTAGAGAATACAAGAGAGGGCCCTATGAAGTGCATCAGGGCGTTCTTTGTCAGGCAGATTGGTGTTGCACAAGAGATCAAGTCGTATCATTATGTACAGATCTCGATTCTGGAGCGATACGGTTATCAGCGATTTTCTGAGCAAGCGCTCCTGTTAATCATCACTGTAACGGGTGAGAATGAAGCTCAGGTTATTTAATAATCAAATCACATGAACTGACACTGAGACTCATAGCTCTGTATTGTTAGCTCACACGTGGGACAGAAAGCAAGAGAGGCGCTATTTATTTGGTACTGTACATTTATGAATAAAGAAATTGTATTATAATATGAAGACGTAATTATTCCGCCTAAACACAGTGGCGGCCACCCACCAAGGACAAATGATTTCTAACCCTTGCTTTAGGTCTTGCGTTCTTGTGCACCATTTGTCCGAACGCAGTCACGCTGTATTCTGGTTTCGTAGGTCGGGCGGCGTTCGGGGGCCCAGTTTGCTGATATATAGTGCAATGACGGCAAATATCTTTCTAGTACCGGCATTGGAGTTTGCGCTTGCCTGCCTGAGGACACCAGTCTACATTATGGAGTCCACCCAGGTCGCTTTTCAACACCGGCCGCTCTCAAAAGGTTAGATAGAACCTGAAACCTCAGGATAATGGGTTCCTGGGAGTTGCCCTGGAGATTTGGTTGGTGGGCTACCAGCAGAAGGAAATGATCGATGTACTTGGGCTGATGCTGGAGCATGGAGGTGATTGGGATTTGGATAATGACCTCTTCTAGGATTATCCATTATTGCGGTTTTTGGAGCTTTTTTTCCCTACTGTTAAGTACGCAAGGAAAGACGTTGGCCTATATATTAAGGTCGTCGGCAGAAATATTTGTATCGCTTCATCGTTCTATGGCCATCAGCGGCTCGCCATTAATACTAAACAGATAGACCTCCACAAGCCAGGCATCAGCTAGCATCTGAGTAATGTTCAATTTGTATTAACAGATACGGATCATAGACTGGAAAAGGTAATCTGTATCAGATGAGAAAGAAATCCCGTCCGAATCTGTTTCTTATACATTTGGTTGGAATTTTCATACCATGGCCAACCCTTAAAGCAAAACATATCAATCTACATCCACTCCTTTACCATGGGACTGTAAAAGGCCATGGATACTGTGAAAGACTTCTGGTTTTCCACCAAGATTGCATGTACAGTAGATTGATCTAACTCACTGGGTGGTTCGATGTGTCGGAATATGGGGTGTTGCTCCTTCGATATCAGTAGAACAATCACTCATAGCCCTTGATGTTTATTGTAGATGCATAGACGAGGAAAACTACGAGCAATATTTGATGCCAGGCAAATATAGTAACGTCGCAGAGTTTCTGACGAGGAGATATTTATACTGTGTGTTAAACACAAAATGCATCGAAACATTTGAAGGCAGTATGGAGGCACCTCAACGTAAGCGATAGCCAGAAGAATAGTGGGATCTCGATTGTAAGCTAGTATTGTCTGTGGGAATTTTCCGAATACTCCAGGAGGGGCCCCTGAAGCGTGTGGCAATGGCGCGCGGGATTTGCAACCTTCGGTACTAACTTATAGGATTGGCTGAGAAGATCCGGGAATGGTAATGCTTTCGAGGACGGAGTCGACTGCGTCGCAAACTCTAGGCTTATTGGTGTTTACCCTTGTATGCTCGACTCATGACTTAAAGCAGGATTAGTCGCTTGGCTTTGAGTGACAAGGAGGCTGAGGTTCAAGGCTATAGCTGCTGATTAATATTGGAGTCTGGGAACCAATCTTTGATAGCAAATCAGACTGAGCTACAGAATTCTTGGTGATGGGAAGAAATCTTTGACTCGACTTGTGCTCGCTTTCAATCACGATAAGGTTGGTATGCCTTTCTCAAACCCTGGATCTATTGCAATTTGTTTGTGTACTAGTGGGTTGCTAACGCGTTCACGGGCTGTGCAAAGCATTCATTTGATTATCCGGAGTCAGTTATAACAAAAGAAGGCTCCTACCAGCTACACGGCTTCCATTTTTGGCTTGTTCAAACGTATGATGCCGACTTTTACAGGATTCTCAAACAGCATGTGCCTCAACATGATGGTTTACTAGCCTGCGAATGAATCGACAGTGCGCCCCTACGCCGTCTGACACCAGCAACATTGCCATCAGTGATCACGATGGGATCCGTAAATGTACAGATGACGACGTGTCTTGGGAAATCGTAGACTGCGCAGCAAGCACTGATGTTGCACGGAGACTGCGAACATGGCCGCGATGACGAAAGGCATGTGGTGATAAACATGGGCAACTATTGTGCCGCAAACCCGAGAGAAGATACTCGGTTGACGAGGCGAACCTTTCACAATTTTTAGTAATCAGCACCTCATGCTCTCCGCATCAAAGGCCACCATTTGCCAATAGAGCCAAGTCGTAGCGTTAGTGGTTGTGTATTGGCAACGTTAGCGTTTCGATGCGAAAGGCTAGAGTTATTGGACGGCAGCAGTTCCGACTGCTAATGTTTCAATCCTGCACCAGTGATTTCAGTTTGGTGCACCAATTCCGGCCATCCATTGACTTGAACCAGGTGTAGTGACTCAAGCTCCTAGCATGATAAAGTGCCGGCTTCCGAGAACTGTTGCTGAGATTTACGAAGGCAGCTACCAGTAACTCGGCACAGATTGTTTAGTAATGAAAAACCTCAAGGGAATCTTCGCGTACACTTGGGCTCGAGCCTAGTGAATCTATACTAATGTATGAGACCCACTCAACGGTGCGCTAATGGCGTGCAATTATATGCGTAATGCTGAACCATATACTGCAACATCATACACGGTGGATCCATAAAGACTTTGGCAACCCCAGGATTTGTAACCAGCAACAGCCGTTAGCTAAAAATTTGCTGCATAGTTTGGAACAAAAAGAGGCTGCAGGAAGGCAGGAAAGGCAAACAGCGAGATTACAGTTGCGCGACCGCACCTTATAACAAGGGCCAGAATCAAAGAGAAATAAAGTTAGCATCTCATTTCTTGGATTAATGTTTTGTCCCTTTTATAGTAGCCTGTCTACCTTCTCATAACCAATTCGACGAATTCTTCTTCTCGGATGATACCTACTTTCACTATAAGACATCATGGGGCGTGCAGTTGGAATTGACTTGGGTACCATCTACTCCCGCGTTGGGGTTTTCCGCAATGACCGGCTCGAAATCATCGCGAATGAACAGGGAAACCGTATCACCTCCTCATTCGTCGCCTTCATCGACAGCCAGCGCCTGATTGAGGACGCTGCGAATGGCCTACTTCCGATGGACACGCAGAAAACCATTTTCCATGCTAAGCCTATCGGCCGACGCTTTCCGAGATACAGACGGATATCCAGCATTGGCCTCTTAAGCTCATCGACCAAGATTCGAAGCCCGTGGTGGAAGTCGGCTTCAAAGGCACGACCAAGTATTTCACGCCCGAAGAGATCCCATCCATGATTCTTGCCAAGCTTCGTGAGACCGCGGTGACTTATCTGGGCGAGACTGTCACGGACGCCGTGAACACAGTTCCGGCATCTTCCAGCGACTCCCAACGGCAGGCCACCAAGGACGCCGGGCTCATTGCCGGTTTCAACATCCTCCGAACCCTAACGAGCCGACTGCCGCAGCTGTCGCCTATGGCCTCTGTCGAAAGATACCGTGGGAGCACCACGTTCTGGTTTTCGACGTGTCGCTTTTAGCGATCAAAGACGGGATCTTTGCAGTCGAATTCACACATGGTGCCGCTGTCCAGGCTGCGATTTTGTCGGGCGACATCTCCTCGAAATCCATCAGGAACATTCTGCTTCTGGAAGTCGCTCCGTTATCCCTCTGGATTGAAACAGCAGACGGTGTCAAGGCGTCGATAATCAAGCGCAACACTACCATTCCCACTACGAAATCCGGGGTTTTCTCGATTTTCTCCGACAACCATCCCTGTATTCTGATTCAGTTTTTTGAGGGCGAGCGATCCAGCACCGATGGCAGCAGATTGCTTGGCAAGTTTTAACTCCGTGGAATGACTAAAGCTCCACAGGGTGTACCCCAGATCCGAGTCACCTTTACTGTGGATGCCAACGGGATTATGGAGATTTCTGCGACCGAGAAAGGTCCCGATAAGCCCCCTCAAATTATCGTACCCCACGACAAAGATCTCCCCAATGAGAAGGATATTGAGCGTATGCTTCTGGAGGCTAAATAATACAAAGAGGACAATGACGCTGAGGTTTCCCATATCCAAGCCAAAAGTAGCCTCGAATCTTGCGCCTACGCTCTCAACAGCACCGTCACTGAGAGCAAGCCGCCCAATGCCAGGCGAACAAAAGAAAAACATTCAAGTTAAAAGCTTCGAGATCATGTATCGGCTCAGTACAAACCAGGCCGAGCGAGATATGTTTGTATTGAAGCAGCAAAAACTAGAAGACATGGTCGTCGACGTGGGTTTGTCTTCCTTGTAACCAGGTACTCGTCAACCAACCGCCTTGCAATCCCGAAACTTGTCATTCATACTTGTAGCTTCACTATCACCGTTTACAAAGAGATTTCTGTGGAGACCTAATTTCCTTTTGTATTTACGTGGGGCCATAGGGGAAACAGGTACAAACAGAATGTAAGCTTTCTACCTCAGTACACACTGCGTGTAGCCTACAGCAGAGGATAGCAAGGGGGTTCAGGATATCCTCCAAAATGAGCTTATTACAGTACAGTACATTATTCCTCATTATCTCGTTATTCCCACTGAACGAAAACCACTCGGATGCCCTTTTTGTGTAGCCCCTTAGGAAGGACTGATATACTTGTGGGAGAACTTTCTAAATCTCCTTACAGAAGTTCCCAAGGCAGTGGCTTGGTGCTGCGTTACAGAGATTCAATAATTCCGCTTAGTGGCTACTAGACCCTTTACCAGTTGATGGAGCGTCGGACAAATAGTAGCTCGAGACTAATGAAGCGCACCGCCAGGTCCAGACCAACGACGATGAAATTCGTGAAGTATTGAATCATACAAGAAGTAACCTTGTGATCTTCTTGCCGATCGGGCGCCAAATTAGTTCATTCTTTGTGATCTTACTCCTGCTTATTTGGAAGAATTACGGTACAAACGGTGAGGCTAGAAAAGCAAACGCTTATTGTCACCATATAAAAGCGAAGACCCTTTTGATTGATATTGATTTCATATGAACCCACCCAGCTCATTACAGTATACTTCAATATCCATTGAATATGGCAAAGCTTCTGACTGTCATCGGTGCCACTGGAACCCAGGGTGGCTCTGTTGTTGCTGCGGCTTTAACATCCGGAAACTACAACATCCGTGGTGTGACTCGTGATATCAACAGTAATGCATCAAAGACATTGATATCGAAGGGTATCGAAATGGTTGCAGCTGATTGGAATGATGAAGAAAGTCTTGTCAAAGCCTTCGCAGTAAGTCACCCGGTGCACTGCTTACATCAAACAGACTGGCTAATTTTAAACAACAGGGATCATACGCCATCTATGCCGTAACTAATTTCTGGGCTAGCTTTGCAACACAAATCATCGAAGACAGTATTGAACTAGAAGCTACGCAGGGAATAAACATGGCTAAAGCCGCTGCTAATACTGCTTCTCTTCAGCACTTTATCTGGAGTACCGTTCCAGACAACCTTCGGATTTCCGGAGGAAAGCACTCTGTGGCTCACTTCGAGGGCAAGATCAGGGTTGACCAGTTCATCAAGCAAGACAAAGATTTGCTGAGCAAAACAACATTCATGTGGATCAGTTACTACGCCACAAACATCGTTTTGCCTATGATTACTCTCAATTTCCTTGTCAGTATTACTCTTACCTAATTTGCACACCGTCCATAGATATTGAGCTGTGACTTAGAAAACATCTGGCAAATATCTCCAGCTTTTACCAGTCCCAGAAGATTGCCCCATCACCACCGTGGGTGATCCTAGAATCAACCCTGGTATCTACGCAGTGGCCATCTTGAGCCAGCCCGAGCTCACCCTACCTGGTAAGATTGTTCTGGCAGAGACCGAGACTAGAACAGTCCGAGACATGGTGAACATGTGGTCAGAGGTTTCAGGAAAACCCGCCGAGTACTCACAAACCCCGATTGAACACTACAATAATCTGTGGCCGAAATGGGGCCGTGAAATTGGGCAGATGCTGCAATTTTGGAATGGAGCGCGTGAAAAGAGTTGGACCTCAGATCCACCTGTGTTGACCAAACATGACTTAAGAGTATCTGGCTTGGTTGGAATGAAGGAAGTTTTTGCCGGACTTGATTGGTCTTCCTGAACTTCAAGTTTGCGTTGGCCTGAGGAGTGGTAAGACCAATGTATAAGCAGGCCTTCCGCGTGGCAGGCCCTCTTGTATAATCTGTTCCAGCGAAATTGGATAAGTGTACAACGAATGACTATATTGAATCTCTGACAGTCTACGACGAGATGCTTAGCGATGCGATTGTAAGTGGTCAATTGTTTAACGCAAAACCCCAATTCTAGAGGGTGCCTGCCAGTGCCAAATTTTTTAATATGGCTATTAATGTCTCGCGCCTGTTTCCGAAGAGGCATAGAGCGAGGTGGTCAATAATCTTGTTGGTCAAAGATGCGACGGCGGTGAAACCCAATTCACCCAGTCTACGAAGGGCTTGAAATCGTTGTGGCTATAGAAATGATCCGCGATGAGAAAAAATCCTTAATAACATGCTTGGGGGGTAAACATATATTTAGAAGCACGCGATGAGGTAATTGCGACGTCGGTTTGCTGAATATAGATTTGAGCATTTGTTGAAATCTTCATCATACTTATACTAGCTATGGTACTATAACGGACCAATTCTAGAACCTCTCCGTTATTGTTCGACATTCGTACTCCTGCTCGTAAACTCACAGGTTAATGGGCGCGCATCGCTTCTACTTCAGGCTTTTTTTCTACCCCTTCTGTTGTAACTGCGATGCTTCCGTGGCCTGGAGTATCGAATGAATGGAGGCATCTTGGGTCTCATGTTTGTTGGGTGAACACTGTTGGTTACCATGATAAAGACACGTAAATGTCGCGTCACCCCTAGCAGCTATTATCTGGGTCGTTTCTAAGTAGGCCTATAAAGAAGAGTATAGATCAGGAGATAATAGTACATAGCCGTGAAGCTTGAGGTCGGGATGAAACTTACAGAATAACATAACTTGGCGTGTGGCTTTTCCCTCCAGAATCACAACTCTCTCACACTACATCCTTGTTTTGGGAAGAGGAAATATGTACAGCCCACTATATCCTCGTCACCAGGCTGCATGAGGGCCTTGAAGTCCACATATTCATTATGCCGAATACTTCGGCGACGGTGAGCGGCTCAATGTCAGGTTCCTCGACGGAGATATTCATGAGATGGCCATAATAGAGAGTAATATGGCAATTGCATATGCATAGCAATCTAGTCGGGCTTCTAACAGATGTCTGCAAAACATTATCCAAAGCTCTGGTGTAAACATGAAAGCCACCATCCATCCCAGTATGTCAAAATATGTAATTATAATATTCCTACATATGATAAATCGAATAATACCGGATCCCCGGACTGGTAGATATAACCAGCGCGGTGCCTCTTAGGCCTAAGAGGCAGCCCGTTGGCTCATGGCTTACAACAAGCCTTCCAGGACATTCGGAGCCTGGCTTGTCACGTTCTGGTTTCAGACGAAGAGCTGGTGTATGAAGCTGCTTAATGTGCGGCTTATGGGCAAATCTGATATTGCTACTTCCTAGCTTCCTCCAAGCGCCCGGAAATTTCTGATGTATTTGCCAGGGTGCCTATCGAAGTGTCAAATATTGGGCGCAAACTGGTTCTGATCAAAGCCCATGTGAGGATTCGGGAGGGCTCGTCAACACCTACCAATTACCAGTCCATGTACGTGTAGCTTGCTCATCTTGCTTTTGTTTGGCCATGCCGGTTCAGGACCGGTGGATTCAAGGTGGCGTTGTCTTTTACCAGAATATCCACGCTGGATTGAGAGATGAAGACCTGGGCGCATGCCCAAAAAAGACCGCACTATTTAGACATATTGCCCGAGAAGGTCGGTAGCTAAAAATTACAATTACAATAATATCAGTGGTAATTTGGTACCGAAGAGACGAAAAGTTACCTTAGGCTAAACTGGGAACTGGGGTGTATCATTTCAAATTTATGGAGGGTCAAATTTAGATTCGTCCGGGCAGTCCTTCAAGAAATGCTCTTCTTGCCTTCGTAATTCTGTCAGGAACGGCTTCAAGGAAAGTAGCAATATTCTAGGATGCCACATGATCATCTACGTGAGCGAGAGCAGCAAGGCTTACTGCCAGCCTGGGATGCTCAAAGGCCTGGCAGTCAAACCCTAGCAAACTTAGAGGTAGGTCAACACCGGGCAGCAGATGACAAGGTCACTGGAGACCACTACGAAGGCCCGCATAACGCGCTGGATATGTATGACTGGAAATCACTTCTACCACAGCCCCTTGATCCCAACAGGGGCAGTCATCGCACATCTCGAGATCAATCCTGGTGTGCCAACTATTCCAAATCTAACCTGGTGTCTCCTTCGGAGTCCCAACCCAATTATACAATTAGATCATGCTTCAGAGGTTGGATAAAGTCCAATGTCAATGTGGACCAAGACCCCAAGAACAAGCCACTTCCTCTAGAACCATTCTACGATACTGATACTCGGGGCCAGGGGCCATTCGGGCCGACTTATGATGATCCACTTCCCAGGCTCTGTCGTCAACCAAATACGTTATTTATGGAAGAGGTATCTGAGCAGAGACTATTAACCACGTTCTTTGGGTTTGATTTGATTCGTCAATCTTATCCTCTCAATAATGCCAAGCTGCATCGGGTTCGGCAATATCTGGCATCGCAGCCTCACCCAGATACAATGGTCAATAGCAGGAGATACCCAATTGTCTCATGTGCGTGGTTGAGGAATTTTATTGTAGCTTCCCCATATCGATTAAACATTGATCGAGGGCGATTGCGTGGCCTGAGACTAGACGACAATTCCAGTCACAATGTGCACTGTGGTTTCGGGCTTTTGTGGGACTTTGTGAAAGCCTGCGGTCCAAAGAACAGAGATTCAGCGTATGTGGAGGACAATTGCGGCGAAGTGGCGGACAATTGCGACGAAGTGGACAAGGAGGGCCAGCTCCAATGGCTTCGGGTAAGAATATCATAGCCTTTGCCTGTTCAGTCTCTCCGATTGATGTTCTTTCATCTTTATCATTGTTTTGAATCTCTTGGCTAACATAGATGGCTCTCTTATTTTGAAGTACCGGAATGTTCAGCCGGCGGAAACAGAACATATGCTCCAGATCTGGAATGTTCTTAAATTTTTATTGATAGAACATTCCGCCTTGAGACAGACACGGAGGGGAGGACCGGAAAAGCACACCGGTATGGACTTTCATCTCGTACACTCATCGCAGCCATATTCTAAAAATTGACGCAGAGGAAATTGATGTTGTTGGTTTCATGAAACGTGGATTGGGAAAAGTTCAGCAATATTTCACGGGGCTAAATAATACACGGGATCTGTTTTGGGATGGATCAAACATTGACGGGTTTTTTGAGGCAGCTTGCGTAGAGTGGCAAGATAACTAGGTCAAAGAGCACGGCATCTGCATTTATATATTCTGTTATACATCCAGTGGGGATTTATTCTTGTACAGCCACCATTATACAGTACTCCTGCATTCTCAAAATCTCTTCACCCCGTTAGGACGTTTCGTCTAAGGGCCTAATATTACTTAAGGTTGTGATGCGAGATAGGCAAGTGGAGACTGCGCGGTAGAATAATGGCGGTCTCCCATTCATGTCTTTCACGTCTCCCAAAAATGATATTATACAAACAGTCTCCTATGCGAGACTACTTTACCGGAGAAACAATGTCCTCAACGCTTCAAACAAATGATACTTAGGTTTCATCAATATCTCCAAAGTTCTACAGTCATACTTCAGCCCCCGCCAGAACCCTGCAAGATCTACTAATATGGTGCTAGGAACTCAGTCAGGAATTAAGTCATGAATATGGTAAAGCTGTAGAAAGAACCGGCCAATTTGTGAATCGCTTGGTATAGATGCTACAACATTGGATCTGTACTCTCCATGTCTGGCGACATCGGATCCCTTGTTTCCCTATACAGCATCTTTGGGGTTTTCTTTTTGCTTGTTGATTATGGTAGTTGCTTCACTTGCAAGGTTGGCTGCACTGTTCAAATCCTGTCAAGTCTCGTTTCAGAACAAGATTCAATATCCTCGTACGCTACCTGGCTGCTCGCAACTTGTTCGTCTTGGCAGGTGCTTCTCGGTAGCTTTCAACGCAGGCATTGGTTTGATTTTGTTATTTATTTGACCCTACACTAACCTGGCCTGTCGGGGAGTTCATTACGGAGTCCATTACATATGCATGTATCCATAGATAATCCTATATGGTGCGGGTGTGAAATCAATTCTTGTTTAACGGTCGGGTTAGACCGAAAAGCCTGAAGGGATGCTGCTTTGCCATAATGGTGATTAAATAGCCTTCAGGCCATACTGCCGATCAAGTTCACCGGCTCAACTATGTCAATTATGTCTCAGCTTCCCACCTTCCGTGCTTACTTCGGGATAGAGCCTTTATTGGCCAACTTCTTTTTTTGCTAGTACCGTGCACCATGTTTAGAGACTCCAAAAGATAGAAAAGCAGTGCTTTCGAGGGTCAAACCAAGCACCAAACTAGTGTCTCTGACGATTTTAATAAACCGAGGTACCGTGGCTTTTGGATTCTAGGCTATCATTACTATAAGGACTATCCATGAATACACCTTGAAATCTATCAGCGGAGAATATTGGCAATCATCTGTTATCATAACCTTTTGCCACAACAATGCGCAACGGTTCGCTCGCTTCATCATATTCCAGCCTCCGCCAAAGGAAAAGCGACGGCTTCTCTATCTCGATAAACCTCGCCAACACCCCAGTCCCCTGTACCAATTCCGCAGTAAGTTGAATGTTGGCGCGGAGAGACCGAGTAGAAAGGAGGATCGCCGAGATAAGTATCTGCCACTCATACCAGACTCCGCATGGCCTCTATGGCCATTCTACTTTCAGGACGACAAACCGGATTTTCCCTCTTGTTGGAGTTCTAGCATTGAGCAGATAATACCCATGGTGTTTTCGCAGATGAGATCGAGCTTCAAGGTCTACGCCAGCAATGTTTAGCAGATATGGAAGCGCTTCTGGAGTGCGACGGGGCTAGAAACGAGCCTGAGAGTCGGCTGCTACTTACAACGGC